CTGCATGGAGCACTGGGTGTTATGCACAAACAATGAATCACGGAACACTACATCAAAAACTAATGATGTAATGTATGGTGATTAACATAACAATAAAAAAGTAAAAAGAAACCTACTTAAAAATGAACAAGATTCCTTCCTCAGGTCCCCAGTTTTTAAGAATAACAATGTGAGGACAGAGAAACGTGGGGACTCACTCTGGGAAGCGTAGAGCCCCTCTGCAGCTCTGTCTTCGTGCCCGTCGTATTCCCTGCTAGACAGCTGCCTGTTGGCCGTCTCTAGGCGATCTGCACAGAGAAGACATGGTCACAAAGAAGTGCATGTAGATCGAAGTCACCATCCCAGCAAGAAACGTCATGGGTGCCAGGAGCCCCAAACTGGATCCCTCTTGGGGAGAGACAATAGGTTCCAAAATACCCAAAGAAAAAGTCTTCAGATGCCACATTGTGTGGCTGCATGCAATCTGGTGTCAGCAGAGGGAGGCAGCTGAGCGAGCATAGGTTCTGAGAACTGCATCGCCCCCTGCAAGGCCCGCGAACCTCTGTTTGGAAGTCCTCGAAAAGGGGCTAAGTGTCCTTGGCCTCAGACCCAGCCCTAGTCTACCCCCGACCGCCAACCCTACGGTTAGCCCGTGCTGCCAAGTGTAGCTGGGAGGCAAAAAATAGAAAAACAACAAACTAAAAATCAAAATTAAAAAAAAAAAAGTCAAAATGACCAAATGGATGAAGATTCTACCTAGTGAGTTCTACGTTTGCTCAAACCACTTGGTAAATCTTCATTTATTCAATTCAGTAATTCGGTTTAGTAAGTCTTTATTGAATGTCCGTGATTCCCAAGACAAAAGGATTTGTGGTAATGGGCAAGGCAGGCTCTAGCTACTAGAGACCACCAGGACATTATTTTCACCGACAAGGCAACTGAAAAGTGGCTTAGCTCACTAAAAACAAGTAAAATGTTACGGGTTAAGTCATTCTGTGTTGGAGAGTGCCAACATTCTACAGCAGTTGGCTTCCAGCTTTCGGGGAGTTTATATATATCTACTCTTTTCACAACTGGGGGCTTTTTCTTTTTCCTCCAAGAGGATGCTGTCTGGGTCTGTCTTCTATACTGTATCTAGCAAGTGTTGAGTGGTAGCTTTCTAAGAATGCTACCAAATGACAGCCTGATGTAGGAAGGGCTGGGCGTCCAACACTGGTCTTTTCAAACATTCTCCCTCACATAGTCACAAATCACTGCTAAGTACTTTTATTATTATTTTTTTAATTTTGAAGTTATGTTTTTATTTTTATTTTACGGAGTCAATTTGACACAGACCGTTCAGTACTTTTAAAGGAGGGAAGGAGGGGCACCTGGCTGGCTCAGTCGTTAAGCGTCTGCCTTCGGCTCAGGTCATGATC